CCAGCCACTCCTCTCGGATCTAATATCTGATACCCAGTCAGCCTTTGTACCTAGCAGAGCAATATCGGATAACATGTTAATCACATCGAGGTCCTCCATTTTTGAAAACCTCAATAGCTGAAGTACATTGCTCAATGGCAGTTAAAACCGACATGAGAAAGGCCTATGAAAAACTATAGTGGGGCTTTATAAAGGGAGTATTTGAAAGATTAGGATTTCATGCAAAATGGATCAACTGGATCATGCAATGATGACTACGGTCTCATATTCCTACCTGATCAATGGCACACTGTATGAAAACATCTGCCCAAAGCGTGGCATTCGACAAGGGGGCCCACTACCCCCTACATCTTCATACTCTGCAGTGAGGTTCTCTCGGGACTCTGCCTCCAGGCACAGAGAGGTTGTCCCCGGATTAACCACTTGCTCGCTGCCGATGATACAATGTTTTTCTGCCAAGCAAACAAGAGGAATAGCCAGGAGTTAAAGCAAATACTCACTAAGTATGAAAAAGCATCGGGCTAATCCATCAACAAAGCTAAATCCACTATTACATTCTAGCACAAAGCTCATAGCGATCTAAGAGAAAGTATCAAGCACGATTTGGCTATAACAAATGAGGATTTCAGCAGGAAAAAATATCTAGGATTACCAAGGATTACCTGAGAATTTCAGCAGAAAAAGAGAGATTTCTATGCGGGTGATGTAGACTTGAAAATGGTGTTCAAGTATACTCTTTGAAACCAAGACTTGAAGCTTGAATGAATGGCGGATGAATGGTTATGATAGTTTGATAAACCAGTGTGCTTGAACTCCAAACACCAAGAGTTTAGATTCTAACTCTTCAAGGGCTAATCCTCACAAGAAGTACTAGGCTCTACATGATTTTAGAAGTCTTCTGATTCCACAAAAAGACTTAGTAAATTCGCAGGAACAGATTTTAAATGCAAAGAACCTTCTTTGAAACAAATGATGCTTTTTATTAAAAATGATTGGTAATTTCTTGGTATGACATATATTCTCAGTTTCTTTGTGTGGCTCCATATACTTGCATGTAGGTCCATATATGCACTTGGTTGGATCTTCTTGGGTAAGTGATGACTTAAATTGAACCAAAAGTAGTTTAGTCTTCTCAGTAGCTTCATGGGACGTGAGATTGGTTGAATAATATGTCTTGCAGCTCTTGGTTTCCATAAATGGTCTTGAAAATGGGAATGTTGGTCCATTCATGTGATTTGGTGGTTTGGCTTGGTCTTCTTGCGAATTAAACTGGACCAGCCATGGTTTAGCTTGATCAGAACGTCCTCCTTGATGCATAGAATGACAGTGCTTTGTTGTTAAGTCCTTAGCTCCTTTGAAATCAGCTACATGTCTCCCTTGCTCCTTATCTTCAAGCAAAACAGGTTCTAGCTCCTCTCATTTATGTTTCTTCTAGATATAAGCATTGATGCTGACATCATACTCTCCCTCTTGAAGAGGTTTTGTCTTCAAAACATTAGTACCTGCATCAAATAAAGATAAGTTAGTTTCTGTAAAATTTTGAAAGTTTAGAAACTTACCTTGGTGTTTAGCTTTTAAATGCTGCAATAGTTGATTGAGGGGAATATTTTTGGCTTCAACAAGCTCTATTGTGGGTGCCAGCTCGTGTAATGGTGGATTCTCCTTAATAAACATCTTGTTTTCACCATTGTTGACCATGTTTTTATCCTTAATCTCCATAGCTTTGAATTTTTCTTCTTTGAAACCTGCAAAATATTCTATTGGCAAAGACAAATGAATCATATCTGGTGGATCAAAGTTTAAAAATTCTTGTATTGCAAAATAACTAACTGTAGTGTTAGTATCTTGCTTAGCTCTCACTTGCATAACTTTAATGTCTTTTTGAGATAAATGGGCTAAAATGTGCTTACAATGGTTAATGGTGAAGGAGTACTCATTGGTTATGCCATTGTGGGTTACTTCTCTATCATATTGCCATGGCCTTCCAAGTAAGACATGACCAGCTTGCATTGGTGCAACATCACACAGTATTTGATCTTTGTATTTGCCAATAATGAGTGATATTTCAACTTGCTTAGAAACTTTCAGATCTTCTTTGTCATTCAGCCACTTGAGTTTTTAAGGCCTTGGATGCTGTTTTGTGGTAAAACCAAAATTTTCTACTAGATAAACACTAGCAATGTTAGCACAAGAACCACTATCAATAATCAAATGATATACCTTGTCTTTGATTTTATATCTTGAATGGAAGAGATTGTTTCTTTGCCCCTGATCTTCTAGTACTTGTTGTGCATTCAAAGCTCTTTGAATTACTAGAAGCTCTCCTTCTTCAGCATCTTGGGTTGGATCTGGTACTTGAGGTGGTGTTGGTATATCAGATGGTCTTGGCTCCTTGTATTGTTGATATGGTTTGTTTAGCAAACTGGTTGCTTCAGCCCTTCTTAACATGGCCATCATAGTTTGCATATGATCTGCTGGTGCATTCTCCATTTAGTACCTTGCAAAAGATGGAAAGCGAATGAATCAAAGTGATGTTCAAAACTAAGCAAAAACAGAGTATTTCACTGAAAAAAGCAGTTGTTTTGAAAATCGAATTATAATTAACAAATGGCTTGATAATTTTTAGCAAAAAATGTTTTTTGTGTGTTTTAAGACTTTAAATGAACATGATCAAAAAGCAAACTATTTTTTGAGTTTTTATAAATTTTATAAAATTCAAACAAGATAATTCAGCGGAAGAACAATTTTTATGTATTTTTTGATTTTTATAAAAAGCAAAACTTAAAAACTGAATGAAACAAATAATTTAAAAAATTAAGATAGGGTATGAATATACCTGGGATGTGAGTTAGCTCTGATACCAATGATGTAGACTTGAAAATGGTGTTAAGTATACGCTTTGAAACCAAGACTTGAAGCTTGAATGAATGGCGGATGATTGGTTATGATGGTTTGATAAACCAGTGTGCTTGAACTCCAAACACCAAGAGTTTAGATTCTAAATCTTCAGTGGCTAATTCTCACAAGAAGTGCTAGGCTCTACACGATTTTAAAAGTCTTCTGATTCCACAAAAGACTTAGTAAATTCGCAGGAACAGATTTTGAATGCAAAGAACCTTTTTTGAAACAAATGATACTTTTGATTAAAAATGATTGGTAATTTTTTGGTATGACATATATTCTCAGTTTTCTTGTGTGGCTCCGTATACTTGCATGTAGGTCCATCTATGCACTTGGTTGGATCTTTTTGGGTAAGTGATGACTTAAATTGAACCAAAAGTGGTTTAGTCTTCTCAATAGCTTCATGGGACGTGGGGTTGGTTGAATAGTATGTCTTGCAGCTCTTGGTTTCCATAAATGGTCTTGAAAATGGGAATGTTGGTCCATTCATGTGATTTGGTGGTTCTGGTGGTTTGGCATGGTCTTCTTGTGAATTACACTGGACCCGCCATGGTTTAGCTTGATCAGAATGTCCTCCTTGATGCAGGGAACGACAGTGCTTTGTTGTTAAGTCCTTAGCTCCTTTGAAATCAGCTACATGTCTCCCTTGCTCCTTATCTTCAAGCAAAACATGTTCTAGCTCCTCTCCTTTGTGTTTCTTCTTGATATAAGCATTGATGCTTACATCAGCGGGCATAGTTGACAGAATCAGACATAAGTCTATCTGCTGGTCCTCCAAGCTCCTGTCCCCAGCAGAGAAGATGAAAATGCTGCAAAGTGTTTTAGCTTCTATGCCAGCTCACACTATGACATGCTTCAAGCTTCAAGTCTTTCTCTGCAAAAGCATTCATTCGACTTTTGTCAGGTTTTGTTTAGATACAAAGCAAGATGAGAGAAAGATGGCGTAGGTGGTTTTGGGATAAAATGACTCAAACAAAAGAAGTGGGAGGATTGGGCTTTAGAGATATACCTTGCTTCAGCGATGCTCTCCTAGCAAAACTGAGATGGAGACTCCACACTAACCCACACTGCCTCCTTGCCCGAGTGTGCTTTGGCAAATACTACCCAGGTACACCTTTCTTGAATGCAAAATGTCCTTTTCAACGTCACATAGATGGGCTGGAATTCTTGTGGGACGAGACCTCTTTGTTAAACATTTGGGTTGGGCTATTGGGAATGGGAAATCACTCAAGGTGTTGGGAAATCCTTGGATTTTTTTGAATCAGAAGCTCTCCCTATGGGCCCTGCTACAGAGAACACAACACAACTCCGAGTTGCTGACCTTTTCCTTCCTGGCACCATGTCGTGGGACACCAGGCGGGTCTCTCAGATACTACCAAACCATGCTGCGGAAATATTGAGCCTGAAACCAAGCAATTCAAAGTTAGAGGACAATCTAATTTGGCTAAAAACCAACTCGAGAGCCTACACTACAAAAACGGGATACTACGTTGCCTTGGAAGAAAAAAATAACTGAGAACCTAGACATTGCAGCGGACACCATGTGAGGTATAAAATGGATACCTGATATCTAGAGTGTTAAGACAGGACCAAAAATTCAAATGTTCCTGTGGAAAGCAGCAAGGGGAGCACTCCCGGTTGGAGAGAGACTCGAATCCAGAAATATATTGCTAGATCCGACCTGTATTTGCTGTGGGGAACTAGAATCCATCGCACATGTCTTCTTCCACTGCCCTTTTGCGAAGAAAGTTTGGGAGACCGCACCTTTCAATGTGGCCCTTTCACCGGAGCAGAACTTGAATTTTGCTTCTGCATGGGCTCAGCTTCGGAGGCTCATTTGTCTCCCTCCCCATAAGACCACGATAACAGCTCTTGCCTCTTGGATCCTATGGAACCTCTGGACAGCACAAAATAATATTATTTTTAGCAACAGAGCTTATACAGAGGAGGAAGGGCTCAACAAAGTAATCATTGATGCTGTTGAATGGTCCTCAGCTCAGCCGTGCTTAAACAAAGAATCGATCCGCAAACCCAGTCAAATCAGAGAAAGAAGAAATGACGATTCCTGTGTTTCTTTGAAAACAGATGCGGCGTGGAGAATGGAGTGTAGGACTGCGGGATTGGGTTGGATTTTCGAAGGAGAACATCTTAGCAGGCAGATCCAATGCTCCGACATCTACCCTTTTGTCCGATCCCCATTGATGGCGGAAGCTTTAGCCATCCGATCGGCTATGGAGGACACACTAAAACGAGGATTCACCAAGCTCAAACTAGAGTCCGACTCCATGCAAATGATCAAGACCCTCACTACGGCAACAGAGTTCTCTGAGCTGTATGGCATTGTTGGAGATATCCGATCTATTACTTCGAATTTTAAAATCATTAGCTTTCGGTTCATTAGCCGTGAAACGAATATGACTGCTGATATGTTAACAAAACGGGTCTTAGCCCAATGTATAACAAACCTCTTGTGATTTTAATCAAAAAAAAATTTGGTCCAAAAAAAGAAACTTTGGTCCAAAAAAAAGAAAACAAATGTTACAATATTAATCTACTAATTAGCTAATTAACTAATTTTAAAAAACAAATGATTAATCTATTAGCTGATCTGAATACTATCATATAATAATTAATACAATATTTACAGAATTATATAGAAAAAACAGAAACATCAAATACGCTGTTTGGAACCATAAAAATAAGAGAAAGAGAAGAAAACAAGAAATTAAATCTTAATCTAACTATTCACATTTATTTATTTTGATTATTTCTACTGATTTACTTTGTTTTTCCATATTATAAATGTTTTTAATAGTTAATACTAAATCAACTATCTTTACTCTCATTTTCTGTTTTAGTTAAAATTATTTTGACATGTTATTTGAACTTAGTTTTTTGATTGTTCAATAGTCATTTATTTATTTGTTATCATAAAAGAAGACCTAATTTTTTAAAATTATTTATATTTATAAATTTTGACCGGTGTAATTTCTGTTACAATATATATAAAAATTATAGTTATAAAAATTGCACGTTCTCTCATCAAAATTATTTAGCATATTGTTTGTTTCCAAAATCAAGTTTATGAAAAAATATAGAGTGAAATTAATTTTGGTTGTTTCACAATATTATAAATCTTCAAAAGAACATTAATATATTTAAAATATTTTCACAGTTACAAAACTTTTTTTATTAAAATCGTAATTTAAAGTTGCAAAATACTCTTTTTACTTTCTAGCCGCATCTTCCAAAGTTATTTTGAAATTTCTACCAGTGGACCCGATTTATAAGAAAAATAATATGAAGAATTTCTTAGTCAAAATAATTAACGTAGATGATTTGGAAGTATTTATACAGTTGACTTAATTTGCGTTAGATAAAAGTTTCCTGACAATAAAAATATTAATGTGTTTAACAAAAGAAATTTTTGTTAGTATAATTCTACTAACTAGGTACATAATTTCAAAAGCAAATGATTAATCGATTAGTTAATAGACGACGTGCAAAAAAAATAAAATTCTGTTTAAATAATAATACTACTTCAGGAGTGTCTGTAAAACATATTCATGCGGTGGACCAACTGATTTGTTATCATATAGTTAAGATGTTGATGATAATGTATTGATGTATAATATTGTATCAAGTCGTGCTTAACAGCTTAAGCTTCATATTCACATTATTTAATTCATGAAAAGTCGTCTTTATACGAGACTGGCAAATTCTAATAGCTTAACTCGAATCAGGGAATCAACTCCATTATTGGAACGCAATTACTACTATTGGGCTGGCTGATAATAATTTACGAAGAAATTACATAAAATAAATCGATAAATATAATATAAAATAATATTGATTAAACAAGAATTTAGGAAAACAGATTGCAGCGAGATATGGTGATCTCTTTCCTTAATTCTGTAAACGCTTCGTAGTGTGAAAGTTGCATGGTATTACAAATCCCAGGATACAACTGCATAATTCTTATGATTCGCATCACCCTTAATTCATAAGCTTTCAAATCTTTTTCTGTGTTGTACTCTCAAAATAAAAACCAAATAAAAGAAAAAAGAAAAACAGAAGTGTATTCAGATTGTGGATTCATGTTGTTTTTATAAAGAATGAGGGAGATGAAACTTTTCAACTCCTCCATAATGCTCATTAATCTCAATTAATATTGAGTCATTATGAATATTTGTGGAGTTACAAAATTGATGAAAATCAATTATTTAATTATAAAAGATACTTGATTTGGCCAAGTTTTTATTCTCGTTTGACTAAATGAATTATTTATTTTTGACCAAATAAAAATTTATGTAGTGATCAGTTACACAAATATTAATTTGATACAAAAGAAAGGTTATTGGACCAAAGCCCATCTACCCCGAATCTACGTCTAAACCCAAACCGAGCCTAAGCCACTTTCGACTCATCTCGGCACGCGTGCATGTGGTTTACCATGAATTCACTCTTCTCTACAATTGTCCTTAGGTCGTTAACCTTGTTAGGACTTCTCCATAATTTTTACTGGTCCATTTTGTGTCTTTCAAGCAACAAACAGTAGACAAGCATTTTTCATTCAAACAAACTCCAATTTTAACATATGAGTACACTCATAATCAGGTAAATCCCTCAGGAATATGTCGGCAGTTGCTCGGAAATTTACCGATGCAACATTCCTTGAAATTGAGTTCCAACAATCCTCCACATGAATAGAAATAACTTTAAATATATAAAGACTCAATAAAATATTTTTTTGAGAGTACAAGTGAAAAATCCATTGTATATGAGTTGGTAGCATTTTTTAGCCTTGAACCAATCATTGTTAATAGCTATCGAATTTACTCGACCAGGAGGTGAACATGAAGTCTTGAACCCCCCAAGCTTTGATATAAACCTAGAAAATAGCTCTAATACAACTTCATTATCTCACGGAATTAGATTCTCTATTGTGTTGATTTTGGCCGTGAACATGCCTAGTAATCATGAGTGAACTTGGAGAATATAGCCTTTCCTTCATTCTCTTAGAAACGGCCACATTTCACACTCACATTTATATTAGCTTTGTTTAAAGGAGTAGCATGTACTACTCCACTTATATCTCAAATCTATGGATTCAAATCATTAAAAGCATACGCTTATCCTATACACACACCTGTAACACTGTTTATCATCCTATGAACTGAGTAGAGACTTAGTCTCACATGCTCTTAGTTGATTCAGTTTGACTAAGTTTTCCCTTTGAACCTATTTCTTGGGATCTCCAGTCATGTAGGTGGGGTTACCATCAAACCTCCTCTTAAGTCATAGACTTAAAACCCATTCCTCTTGATGATTTTACAACTTGATCTCGTGGCACACCTTTTAAATGGATCCTAGGTTGTCATCAAATCGGACATAATCTATTGAGATAACTCCATTTGAGATCAATTGTTTTTGGTTCTATGTCGTCTTTTAAAAAAGACATGACTAACCATTAAAACTCAGTGTCGAGTCATAGTTAATGACTATCATAGTGTACACATATGCTCACACTAGTTTTCGCATATCAGATTTTCTTCCACAAAGTTCAGAAACCTGTAGCTTCATTTCTTTATCGAAAGCTATGAACTTTGGTTCCATAGTTAATTTCTTTCACCTAATTAATTTGGAAGATTTTAATGATGTTGTTTCATTGCCAAGCGTAAAGACAAAGCCACTCATGGACTTTTAGTTTTTAGAATCAGATCAATATTTAACATAAATGCATCATTCCAAAACTATTTTTTCATTACCATATCTCATTCCATAACTTTTAATATATTTCGCACGTAGCTCAATACTTTAGTTATACAGTTTCAGTATTTACAACGTAGACTACTCATTTGATAACTTAGTACATGTACAAGTCTGCCAGATTGAGTAAAATACAATTGTTTAAGTACTTCTGATCACTCTTGACTAGATCTTAAATCTTGTAAGTATGGTTTTAGCATAATGAAATTGATAGACAATGATTCCTTTCAAAAGTCTAGTGAACATAATCACTAGAATGACATCATTTAGTCTCATTCCTTAAATGTAAAAACTTTACACTAAGTGTATTCAAATAATTGGATTTACGTACAAACATAGTCAAATATGTTTGTGTGGACTACTTTTGATGTTTATATACTTATCTCATTCATTGATGCTATAAATGTTTAAAATTATGATATAGTCAAATATTTCAGGCTACTGTTTCAGAGCTTTCGTTAGCCCAAACAAGGACTTCAGATGACTGAACCATCAATTTTAACTTTAAAATCCATATACACTAGGACTTTAAGCCCTTGTGACAAATCGACAATCATCCCCATATGGTTTTGCATAATGGAGTCGATCTCACGGTTGATTGTTTACCTTTAATGAAGGTTAGTTCAATGTACACATGACCTCCTAGCTAAATTCTTGAAAAGAACGGCTGCCATATAACTGATTCTCCTGGCGAGTTTTAATTGGTACATCTAACTTCATATTTTGCTTCTTTTGCATCATATACTAATGTGCCAGAAGTATTCGCCTCATTTATGTAGGCTATTATTATATTTTTATGGATATCCAGTACATCTGATTTATAATCCTGAACCAGATGAACACTATTTGAATGTGCATATCCAATTGAAAATATAATATATCTTTGTTTTGTCATATTGTGACCTCTTTTGGAGATTGCACTACAACTTTTGACAGGCACCCCCACACTTGTATATATTTGTATCAATGTACTTCATCCTTTAAAAAGATAATATGACATCATGCCAATGACTCTATGTGGTAAGCATCGCTTCCCCCACATTTCCTGAGATTACTCAGAATCATGCATCTTTGCATTCATAATCTTATTTAGAATTCAGGATTTTCGTTTTGCAACTCCAGTCATTTAAGTGAATAAGGATCAATTTTCTGACGAATAGTGCCTTGTTCTCTAAAGAACGCATTTAATTCTCAGAAAACTTTCCTTCATTTTCACATTTAACTATTTTTCATAGTATATTAAGTTGGATTTTCAATTGCATCTTATATGCTTTAAATTTTTCCATAGCCACATTCTTGCATTTCAGCAAATAAACAGATCTATCACAATAGATTTTATTGATAGTAGCATTGTAATGCCACCTTCCCATTTGAGTTTTCCCAACCAAGTAAACTTCAGAAACTACACTACACATGTTAATTTAGTCAGAATTGTCTGAGATTTCTTATTGTCTCTGCATGAGTCAAATTTTGCTACAATATTTGTCAGCATTGCTACGATATGTGTTAGCATTTTTACTCATTATGCCACACTTGTGACACTTTTCATTGAACTTCTAATTAAGCATTCTGCTTTTTGAAGCTAGTATAGGTTTTAGAGGAATCTTAAGTATCCCCTTGTTACTGTGCCCAATCACTTTTGCATTATGTTTACAAAGTGATACCATATGCTTTCTGATTTGCAGATTCAGTCCACTGTCTGACC